TATTGCGACCTACTTACGTTAGACTGTTACCTACTTATGATTAGACTGTTACCTACTTATGATTAGACTGTTACCTAATTATTTTCGGGTACTCGTTTTGGTGCCTAATTGGCTTGATATTTGTTTCCTTTCGATGATGTTTTCGGCTTTCTTTGGCCCTTTGATTGCTTTCATCACCCGAGGCTGAGGCACGTAATACCGATTGTGAGGGCTATGCCCGAACTAGATGCAAAGCATCCTGGTTTGCAAATCCGCAATGATGTAATTAGACTATTTTGTGGAATTAACATAAAATTGGCAACCAATCAATCAATTGGCTTTTTCAGTAAAAATGGGGGTTGTTGAAATTTAATATATAATGAACCATATCAATATATTTCCCACCTATTTCAAAAATTTATATCATTTTTAAAACAAGTTATCTAGAATGTCAACTCACGCTTTAAAGAAATTAGTAAAAAAATTTGCTAAGAAGTCCTCTTCTACAGGTGAGATTATTTGCAAGCATTTCTTTTATTACAACCTTTGTCATTTTAGGACTACAATATGATTTGTTTGTTTGTCTTGACAGATGACCCTATAGAAAACCTTAATGAAGATTCTAAAAAAATTATCCATCAATGGGCAAAAATGGTACGAGCAAAATACAAGAATGATAATAATTACGATGACGATGATTTATATTATGAGGACCCATTGCTTTTAATTGAATGGAACGATGCAGGTTTAAATAGCAGAAGACTTGCTGATCCTCGACACACAAAAATGGCTTTAGTTAATTGTATATCTATAACCATAAATATTACATTATTGATTATTTTTTGAAGATTCTTTCTAAAATTTTTTTTTTGATTAGTGATTCGAGGGCAACCAGGTTATTTACAATTCCCTCCGACAGGCATTCCATCAGAATGTTCGTTTTCCTTCGTAAATACTCCAGCACTCCCATCAAATCAAGCATTAGTCAACACGATTGGAGTGCTCGTCATCAACAATTGGTCTAGGCATGCCCCTGGAATTCCGGATGTTGGCCGGGTTTATGAAATCTATGCCCCTAGAAAAGGGCAATTTCATATTACTGAACATCAATATGTGTTCAATCTTTGACTATCACGTTATTATGGGAGTAAATTTTAAAAATTGTTGATTTAGAAAAAAATATTTTGCTTCATTTTTTTTTATTGAAATTTTTCAGAAAAATATTTAGTTTTAATTACAGATGCTAAAATTAAAATAATATAATCAAAAGTAATAAATTTTATTGCTAAAAGTATGAATCTACGTATATTCTCCGGATATACTCATTTGGGTAATTAATTTTTGATTTGAAAGAATAAGTAGGTTAATAGATAATCACAATCTACTTATCGATATATGTATTATCAATATGGCCATGGCATGGCAACTACCCGAAAAACCAGTAACCCCAGAACTAATAACTTTACCTCGATTTTGGACCTGTTCCTAGAAAAATATAACTTGTCCGCCGAATCCAACCCATC